GCCGCTGCACTGCATCTTCCCACAGAGCACGCGCTCGGACGCCGTCGGGCGGCACACCTTGTACGTGGTGCACGTGCCAGGCACGCCCACGCACTCGAACACATTGCACAGGTCGCTCTCTGTGTCAGAGAAGCGTCGGTCAGCGGGTGGGGAGGAGGGACAGGCAGCGCAGGGAGCGGAGGCAGGGGTAAGGGCAGAGGGAGGGGGGGCAAAAAGAGAATGAATGAAACAGAAAAAGAGTGGGGGAGAGGGAGGGAAAGAGAGGAAGGAGAAGGAGAGAGAGAGAGGCAGGCAGGCAATATAGACAAAAAGACGGACAGAGAGTAGGGAAGAGGGACTATGAGAGAGGAAGAAAGAGAGGAAGGAGGGAGAGAGGGGATAGAGGGAGGGAGAGAGAGAGAGAGAGAGAAAGACAGTCAGCGACGGAAACAAAGACAAAGAGAAAAACAGAGAGTATGGGAGAGGGAAGATGGGAGAGAAAGAAAGAAAGGAAGGAGAGAGAGAGAGAAAGCCAGGCAGAGACAGAAACAAAGAGATGAAGAGAAAAAAAACAATATATATTCAGGAAATCCTTCGTGAAGCGCGCACAATCGGCACAGAATCGACAGAGAGCGTTGAATGAGTCCGCAGATGGGAGTCCGAAGAGAGGGGGAGGCAGATCAGAGTGCACACGCGCGCAAGGGAGCCCAGTGCGGCGCAGTAGTAGGAGAGTTGGAGGACTCAGCCCCGAGTAGACTGGGAATGGCACGAAGGAAGGGTCGGGAGGGAAGAGCATCTAAAGCTACAGTATCATCCTTATCACCATTATTCCAGTTTTATCAGTATTGTTTTATTACAGTAATGAATTTTCACCATTACGATTGTTAATATTACGATTATCATTATTATTACGTTGTTGTTTTTTAATCAAGTTATTTGAAGTTCATCAAAGGTCTATACCTGTTCCATCTTGGAGTCATTCATTTAGTACTTACATGTTTTCAAAAAATATCCCAAAATTGTATTCAGTCCAAGCAGACGCTCTTCAACCCTAACACACTACACACTAAGCGAATGACCTCCTGTCAGCAACACATTTTAAGTAGTGCTATGAAAATGACATTCATATTGTGGGTATTTTTTTATATTCAGGAGAATGCTGAGCGTTTTCACGTCATCCTTAAAATTAACGTAGCAAGAAAATCATAAAGAGAAGCCAAAAAGGTCAACCAGGAGAGGTCATAGGCGAAGGAATTAACCCAGGGGAAGCCAGAGAATCGTCAGATATCTCAGTCATGGAACTTTCCTCTGAATATTTTGTCCATCATTTCCACGTAAAATGAGATATTTGCCGACAGATCGGCTATCTTCTGGAGCGAAAGTCTAAAGACGAAAGTCCGTAAAATCAAGGATGGAGAGAAAATTGAAGGGAGACCGGTCAAGCAGAGAACAAAGGGCGCCACGAAACCATGTTTGGGAAAGTCCCACAGCGAGATGACTCACGGGCGCGGGGCTGAGTCACCCGAGGAACTGCCTTCCCCGGGGGGCGCCCTCACCCGCGAGACGGAGAAACTCACCTTTGGGGGGGAACGCGCATTGCTCGCTGCTCATGTCGAACTGCATGCCGGCCGGGCAGCGCAGGTTGGACGTCCTCAGGTTGCAGCGGATCTCGGCGCAGAAGGTTTTCTTGGCCCGCTGAGGCCGGCAGATGTCGTAGGTTTTGCACGTGCCCTCCACGCCCGTGCACGGCACGACCTCCGTGGTCGTGGTCGTGGGCGGAGAACCGCAAGGCGGCGCCGCCAGGAACGGGTGCACGCACTGGTCCAGCTCGTCGGCGAACACAGTCCCCGGCTCGCACTCGAAGTGGTAGGTCCAGAAGTAGCCGATCTTCATGCGGTCCACGCACCTGCAGGAAGGAGAACGCATACTGGATGCGGGCAACAGGGCTACGGCCGAAGACGCTACTTGGCACGAATCTACTTAACCAGCAAGTAACACAAAGACAATGTGAAAACAATATGTATCATAAACAGAATAATATTGGTGGAAATAACATCACCCACTACCTGCAACGAGGAAGCGACGCATCACTCGCAACACAGAAATCATAACGAGAAAGTGCAGCACAGAAATTACTCATAAGAGACAGCAGGAGCAGCCACTCTGCCCCGTTAACGAGCGCAGCCACGGCCGCTTGATCTAATTTCCAGAAAGGAAGCTTGAGGAGAGGCCCCGAAGAAGGTCTGGCGACAGAGTATAACGGACGCTAGAACGCCGCCCAAAAAACAAGCTCGGACTCGGGTCTGCGTGGAGGAATCTCTGGGCCCTAGGACGCGGAGGGCCCACGGGAAGGGGTCGACCGTAAGGTTGGGCTTGGGAAGGAGGAGGCGGAGAATAGCGAGAGTGTGAAAGAGGGAGAGAGAAAGAAAGGGAGAAGCAGAGAGAGAGGGTGAGATGAAAGGCGCGGAGGAGAGCCCCAGGTGAACACACCTTCGGCGCACCCAATCATGCGTCTAGGAAA